CGTGTCAGAACGTGACACTCCGATCCAATAATATCATTAATTTATCATTTATTATCACCACTTTTTAATTCATTAACAATATTTCATCAATCCTTCTTTATTCAAGGCATCACTTCGATAGAGAGAGTTCAAGATTATAAATTTCACGGTCTCAGGATTTCAGACCAATCACAAACCACACAACCAAGCTACACAATCACACAATCAAGTACATAGAGAACTTCACAATATCATTCAATGCATATTTATCACTATTAAGAGTCTATCTATCAATTAGAATAAAACCATAACCTACCTCCACTGACGAGTCGAAGTCAAGCAAGCTAATTCACCAATGATATTCCTTTCTTCAATGCCTCAGATGATTTCCAATCTATCAAGTATGCATAATTCATAAGTAAACGAGTCTATAGACACCATATCACTATATGTCTAGCCTAGATCCAATAACTCATCCAATTCTATAATCAATTTTCTAAAGTTTAAGTCTAAGTGTAAGTCCCAATACCTCCAATATTATCATAACTTTAATGGTATTCAAATAATACAATACACCTAATACATCTCAATATATCAAAACTTAATTTTTATAGAATAACTAAACAATAGATACAAGGACCCTAGATTAGTCACAAACTTACAAGCAGTAACTTGAATCGGAGAAAGAAAAAGAAAATATAAACCAAAACACTCCTCTACCCATACCCCTAAAGTCGATTCTATTAAACTGCAAAAGACCATTACCCTTAATCATTGCAGTAATTGGCTATTGAAATCATTGGCCAGAAAAATTGTCTCCCCCAAACTTCCAAAATATGAACATAACAGTGACAATTCAATTCTATAAAACTTTCACCTGCAATTCACTCTTTAATTCGATAAACAATAATTTCCCACTTATTGTTTTAGTACTTCACAATAATTTAATCAAACCAACCAACCATTGGCCCCAATTACTTTAGTTCCTGATTATTTTCTCCATTAGTCATAACAATATGCACACACTTATAAATTGCAGACTATCTTACTTATGATAATACACTATACACCTCATTCCTAATGTTGGATTATTAAATGGAAACCATGGCCAATAATTACCCACCAAAGTTTGACCCCTAGATTTAAGAACTAACATCTAAACTTAAAGGAAATTCAATCATTTATTTAGAATATAAAGTGACCCATCTTATCATTATCATGATCCCTAAGGCAATTTTCCTGACTCAATTAAATAATCTCACTGGAAATCTGCCAATCCGTGGGAGACAAATTTGGCTCCAACAATCCCACACCCAACGCCATTAATCACCAAAATTCAACCTAACACTATCACTGAAAACTCGTTCTTTCCAATTTCCCGTCTAATAACAATAATATAATAATAATCATAAAGCCTTTGTTCATATTCACAAAATACATATTGGATTTTACCTGAAGCACTCATCGGCCTATCTGCAAATTGTATCGCCGTAGTTGAAGTTCTCTTTAGTTTCTAACTCAAGATGGGAACCCCTAATTATTATTTAAGCCTAATTTTGGGAGTGGTAGAAGTGACCCACTATTAATTCTAATGTAATTTTTCTTAACCACCAACTAAATAAATTATAAAAACTATCCCATAAATTCTATAATTGTAGTTACGATAGTCCAAAACACACATTTAAAATCTATCGAAAGAGTATTTTATACAATAAAAGCTCTAATACTCAAAACGATCAAATGGGTCGTTACAAAATATAATTCATTATACATTTTACCTACATAGATAAATTTAGTTGTTGAATTTTGTAGTTTCAAATAATATTTAATCATCTATTGTTCAACAAATAAGTCATTTGAATATAAGCCGACTATTCATCTATTTTAGCTTGTACTTTTTCACTTTATTCTATTATTCATTACAATGTATTTTTAATATAATTTAATTTGTATGAACTACTTGTATGTGACATTGTACGTGTCCAGAAACTAGTATATAATTAAAAGTGGGAAGCTTCAAAATGTAAAGTTGGATTACCATTTTACCCTTCCACTAAATCAAATTTACCTTTCAATTAATAATAATATTTCATATTCCATTAATTTGAAATATAAGGCGCATGAATCAATACTTGACCATATACATTCTCACTTACTACAAGTCTTCAACCATTCAATAATGAGTTGAAATTGCTTTTAAAATCAAGTACATTAAATACCACTAATTTATTTGAGCAAATCTCTTCACTTTTCTACAAAGAATTTGTAGAATTTGAAGGTTACGTATTGAATAAATCAATGTTGACAAATTGATCTAATTAACACATGAGAATGAAGCTAAAGAATCCACAGGAGTCATCAAATATTATATTATTCACTTTACTTAATTTTTTGTTGTCTCTTGTGATAATTTGAACTCTAAAACTTCCTGCATGTTAACAAGTATTCTCTAGGTATCAACTTGCAAATTCACAAGTCGTACGTATTTCTTTCTCGATATTAGCTAAGTCTTTTTCAAAATTTATGGCTATTGAAATTTCTTTTAGTTCATTAAAGGGTTGATCTTATTTAGATAAAAAGAGAATTAAATTTATCTTTTCATTTTCATTTTGCTGGAAATATTTGTTACTACTCAATAGTTCAGTTTTATAAGATTAATAGATTCTTCTGGACTTTCATATTCTTTATTAAGAAAAGTCTAAGCTATTGTTCAACATTTCATATCCTTATTAATGATTAAAACATGACTATTGACTAAGCCTAAGAAATATTTTTTAATGATCAATAGTCTTGTTGAGCTTTGTTTAATGACAAGAAACAGAAAAAGTCAATTACATCCTAGAGAGAAAAAATAGGATCATATAAGCAACCATCAAAATACTAAGAAGGAAAACATTCTTCGTAACAAGAATTGATTTAATTTTAAGAAATTCAAAAGAATGATTACATTTAAGAGGTCATACTATAAGTTGTGATTTTTTTATTTTCGAAAAATTAATATACATGTCCAAGATTAAAAATCCTATGACTTAATTAAAATAAGAGCTTACCTTTAATATTCTTGAAGATCAATTTACTATCTCAATGACAAAATAAAAAGTAGTAGAAAAATATACTCTATAAAGTGGAGTATAAAAATAATTATTGAATAAAAGGTAATTTAATCAATATATATATATACACACACAAATTTGCTTAAAAATTTAAGGAGTACGGAGAAGACGAAAAGAATAATCAACAGAGAGTTTATTAGTCATTTTTTTACAAGTCGATAAGCAATTGATCTTGAAAAAAAAACAATTACTTGAAATTGTTCCGACACATTATTTTTAACGCTAAATTCTTTGAATGAGTAATATAATGTTATTTTAAAAAATTCAGATAACATTAGTACAAACATTTTTACAATCGTCTAAATTAAGACTTTCACATTTGCCTTGGAGATATCATTTTTATTTCGGGAACGAAAGACGTTCCTCTATCTTAATTATGTATCCAATTCATACATATATCAGATTAGCTTATATTAAAAAATTGAATAATTTACACTAAAGGTATTGGTTCATCCAACTACGATGAGAATGATTCATGTAGAAAAGACATGTACATAAGTCTTAAGAAATAAAATCAATACTTATGACAAACATTATCATATCTCAAGTTGTTATAGCACATGACAATGGATGACAAGTTTTACTTGATGTATGTGTGTTGGGAGCTAAGGAGATGCCTATGTTGAGTGTAAAACCTTCATCCCAAATAGTGAGTCGTGATTTGGTTTTATTTGAAACTTATTTGAAAATCACAATGCCATTGAAGGAACCACTTGGTGCATGGGGTGACAAACATTTAACTGTTGAAGGGATAATGGAGCATGCATCAAAATGTATCAAAAGACCAATGTGCATATTGATGTTTGACAATGATATATATTTCTACTAATCAGATCTCATTTTGGGTTGATACTATTGTTTTTCCAATGATCAATATTAGTTGTATGCGTGCTTTTGAGTGCATCTTTGTTACAGGTATTGTGACTTGTAAATGGTTCAAGGTTGTTCAACCTATTGTGGTGGTTCAGGGATACAATGACGACTTACTATTACCTGAGACAATTGGTGAGGAGCATGCTATTTCCATTGTTATTGCCGTGAACCTTGAGGACAAGGTTCTTATTGAGAACGGGAGTATTGTTATGACCCAACCTCGGCCCAACGTTGATGCCTACACGAATGTCACACAACTTGTTAGTGGGCCGGGAAAAATCAACATAACTGAAAGGCCTTTATGAATTATGCTAATTAATTAATAAGAAACATATCGGTAAATATGTATATATTAAAAGAATATTTTAGTCTTGAAAAAAATATTTTTTTTGTTTCTGCTTCTGCTTTTCTAAAAAGCAGAATTTTTTTGCTTCTTCCCAACAACAAAAAATTGTTTCTGCTTCCATTTTAAAAGACAGTTTACTGATTTGCCAAATACTTAGTTTTTCAACAAAAGTATTTTTTTTCTCAAAATAAGTGTTTCTGGCCTCTCAACAACAATGTCAAACATGTTCTTAATCAATAAATGATCATCTTGCCATAGTCGTAATCATTATCATAATTTTCCTGATTACTGAAGTCTCAACTACGAGACCTATCTATGAGTTCCCGTGAAACACAAAATTCTATAGATTTCAACAATCTTCTGCACTTTTCCATACTCTAACCTAAGTTATGCATTTTGGGGGTGTTTATGTACATTTTTTATCTTTAGAAATTTACGTTATGTTTTAAAAAAAAAAACTGTACTTAATAATATAACATACACACAATAATTTGTTCTTTTATATACATTTATCGTTAGTTAACGTGATACACATGTGCAAAGTACGTACACTTCACTTATTCATTAGTTAGGTAATTTGTTATTTTTTATGAATTTATACCTTAAAATAATTAAATTTCATTTTTTTTCTTTTTTCAAATTGGAAAGTTACCACATATAGCTCTATTCATCAGAATTTTTCAAATTAAAAACTTGACAACTATTTATTCATAATGATTAAGGGTGTATATAGGTCGGTTAGGTTTTCATAACAAAAAATAACTAAATCAATTCTGTCGGTTTATTAAATTTTAAAACCAAATCAAAGCAACATAAAATTGGTTTTTACGGTTTTGATTTTAGTCAGTACTTTAGTTTTTACGGGTTTTCATTTTTTTACAATTATATAGTGATTAAAAAAGAGATCAAATATATTTTTACTTACCTATGTGATAAGCTAAAACTTGAAAACATTAAATGAATAGGAATCTTCAAAAAGACCGTAAAATTCACATGAATACAAAATACTTTCATTGAAATATCAACATTCAATATGTTAAATTTATAAGATGAAAGGCTACAGTCAAATTGAACAAAGAACAAAACATATTCAAAGTAAATTATTAACTTCCGGTCTGAAAAATTATAATAATATAATTGTAACTTGCGAAAATGTGGTTGGTAAAGTTTGCTTCTTTTTCCAAATTGTGTATAATAGGATTTTAGAAAGAAAAAAAAATATTCCTATATCAAGTTAGATTTTTTAATTTCTTAATTTTTTACTCAAAAGGGCACAAATCAAATGTACAACAGACATCTCTCTAATCTCTATTTGTCCGTGGATCTGATTAGTAAGCTTTCTCCTTCTACTGTGTTTGTATATATAATATAAAGTTTTTTCCCGTTTTGTTATAAAGATTTTATTTCATGTTTTGTGGTTAGGGTTGATATTTGAGGTGATGTCTCTATTTTCAAATGTGATGAGTAGATTTGCCTGTTGTGCCGGTTCTTGTTGTGTTCCAAATTCTTATCTACCATCATTCTACGCTTAATTCACTGACGTACAAAGCTTTAATTTGCCCAGGTAAGTTGTCCAATTGTTTTTTTTTGTTTTTACGTATTTAGATTTGACTTTGTTCAGCAAAATAGGATTGTAATTTCCCTTTTTCTTCTATTCGGCTAACAGAGTTGTCTCTCTGTCTCCTCGGATCCAAGAGTCCTTTGTCCCGCTGCAGGACTTCGATAAAGGCAAGGATGGATACCTGGGACAGCAGGGGCTAAATCTCCAGGAACTGCGAGGCCTGCCTCACTATTTTTCTTGTCAGCACTTCCATGAGATGCCATGGCTTTCTCACTTGCAAATACAGACTGAATTATCGAGTTCCCGTGAATATTGACAAGTTTATCATTACTCGGTACGTACAAAGAGGCTGCCAGAGAATCACTACCATTGCCCACGTGAACAAACGTATCTGCAGCTTTATTGGTATTCTTTTGATTGCTTTCACCCTGATCTCCCTGGCCACAATGTAAGCTATGATCTTTTCCACCGTATTTCCCAGAATAACCAGTCCCATTCACAAGCCCGTCAATAGTCAAAACTCTTCCATGATGTTTTTCAAAAAATCCACTCACAAGAATTTCCACTCATAAACGGTTCCCTCATACCTCCATATCTCACTTTCAATAAAGGAACCAACCCACCAAAGAG